GAGAAATGGGGAGCAAAGTTGAACCTGGGAAAAGAAGGGTGGGGTGGAGGCGGAAGGTGTTTTAAGATTTGGTTTTATGTCTCATTATCCTACTTTGATTGGATTGGTAACAAAATTATTTTTTTTCCAAACAGAATCTGGTTTGCCACTGAAGGTAATTGCTGAGTGATCTTTCCCTGTCCATATTTTGACCCACGAGCCTTTCCCTGTATTTTCTCCCCCTTGCCCAACTGAGGAGGGCAGTGACAGGGTGGCTTTGGCCTGGGTCAACCCACCACACAGAGTTTACAGGCTTAAAAGATTGGGGGAACAGGCAGAATTTGGCACACGATGAAGCAGTTGTGGAAGTACCTCAGCCTTTTTTTTTGTTTTCCTTTTGCCCTACTTCTCAAAACCATGGCACAGAAGGCAGCGTGCAGTTATCTGTGAGCAATTAGCTACTCCCAGAAAAGGCATTTTGCCATTAGATACGCTGTGCTACGTAAGGCTATGATCCCTTTTCCGGCAGTAGAAGCCCGGGAAGCAGAAGTTGGTTGGTCCCAGAAGGGCGAGGACATGTAGCAGCATGGATAAAACCAGGTTCGGGCCACAGGTTCCTGAAGCAGAGCCAATAAAACGGTGTCAGATAGCTGCAGGATGTTGGCTGTCGGGAGCAAAGTCTACCCCAGTGAGTGCACTGTTAGTTCTGACTCTCCCAGATGGTCTTGGTTTTCCTGATGGTTCGCTATTCGCTGGAAGGATTTTCACGGGTTTGAATTGTAATTTGTTCTCACTTTCCATTCTTAGTGGGGGAGTGAACAGAGACTGGACGGGAGTCCCCCGGAAGCTGTACCAACCCGGTTCGAGGGGGAGTCACTGCGTGTGCGTGAGGGCTACAGGCCCTCCATGGGGCCAGCCTGCCTCCGCCGAGCACAGCGACAGAGGTGATCTGGACAACCCTCACCTGGAGGAATACGAGGGCTGCCATCCACTCTCTGAGCAGTGTGTCCTGAAGGTGTGACGCCGAGGTGGGGGTGTAGAGTCCTGCGGCGAAATGTTGCGCTTCGGGCGGGCAGTTGCAGCTCCATCTCCAGCTCCATGCCCTGTCTGGGTGAAGAGAGCAATGTCATGTTAGTTATGACTCTTTTTTAACGCAGGGAGGTGGACTTCAGAGGAGGAGGAAACACTTTAGCCAAGTGAGCGGCTAAAAAGTCAGTAGCGGGATGCTTGCTTTCTCAGTGGTATCTCCTAGGGTATTTTTACACCTGGCTTTACAACACGCTGTAAGATGCACAGCCTGAATTATCTTTAAAAAGCGATGGCTAACGCAGTCAGGAAATGGGTGCTCGTGCGCACGGTGGTGGGTGCAACGCGTTGTGGTTTGAGGCAGCGAGGTGGTGAGCGCAAGAACTGCTGCAGCACTGCTGACCTCAGGTTATGCCCTGTCCTCCAGCTCGAACTCTGCCTGCTGCACTGTAGTGCCATTGCACCCGATTTACTCCAAGGAGTTCAAAGGTAGCAGCAGGAAGCCTGGAGGTCTTCTACAGTTAAGGTACGTTGTACCTAGGAACTTGTGCGGTTCAGTTATACGTGTGCTTTATCAAATTCTTGGAGTACAGAGGCAAAGGTCAGAGCTGCATTTCCTTATTTAGTGTTTATTTTAGATACCGTGCAAAGAAGATACTGGAAGCCACCTACAAGGGTCATTGTTTTACATTAACCTCAACATCCTGATCCTGATTCACTACTTCCAGAACTACTCAGATGAGGAAGTGGAAGTTTTAAACAGGCAGTAACAAAAGTTACATGGCAACACGGCCATCCTGCTGTAACCTGCCTCCCACTTCCGTCCCGGTATGTGACCTCTTCCCATCTGGTACCTGTCCAGCAGCCTAGAACCGGAGGCTGGGTGTGTCCCCACAAGGCCCAGCTCCCTTAAAGTCCATACGCAGTTTATCCCAGCTGGCAACTCGGTAACACAGGTGACTCCTGAAGGAGCAGGGCAGGCTGTTTCCATTTCTGCAGGGGATGAAAAGGACAAGGGAGTACCTGCAGAGGGCCTAGATGTTACAAAGCCCAGGCTGCATGGAAGCAGTTGCTGTTTTTCATAGAATCCAGTGTTAGAATCAGTTTGTGGTGTAGCTGCAGCCTTGGAACACACGCCCAGATCACCCAGTCCAGCAGTGTTCAGTTCTTTTCCTTCAGGCAGCTGTCACCTCATCACAAACAGCTGGAAGGCAGTTATTAACTCCATAGTTCTGAGCTGCTCCCTCCTCTGAAGAAAGTCCCACACATCTCGGTCATGAGTTACTAACTAGCAAGTTTGGAGGAGCCTGGCAGCATTGCCTCGGAGCAAGAGCAGTCACTGCGCTGCAGTGACAGTGCCGCCTGTTCCAGCGCCTTTCGCCTGTGGGGGTGAGGTGAGCCACGCAGCAACTGAAACATGTGAACATGCTTATTGTAATAAATGTTTGGTTTTTCACCTGGTTCTGTTGTGTGTCTTCATGCTTATTGTAATAAATGTTTGGATTGGTTTTTCACCTGGTTCTATTGTGTCTTTTCCATCAAAATCTTGGGAAGTCCCCTACAGCACTGTCAGGCAGCTGCGCCAGCTCTTACAGGCCATAGGTGAAGCTGGATGTGTAGATGAGTGGCAGCAGAGCCATCCCACCCTGTTTGAGCACCCACTCACACTTCTAGGACTGAAACTCAACCATGGGCTTGTGCCAGCTGTGGGATTGCAGCAGGCTACCCACTTCACCCAACAACCCCAGAGGGCAAGCTGTGCAGAATCTGCAGGAAAACACCCCAAAGCAGCGCATCGCTGCCTCAACAACTCCGTGGGCATTATGTCAGCATGTCCTTTGCTTTTGGACATCACGTTGTTAACAAGAATTTGCATTTAGAGGTCAAAACATCCCCAATAAGTTACTTCAAGGCACTTGCCCAATAGCTTTAAAGTTGCAGCAAACTCTAGCTATTGAAATACTGTAGGAAGTAGTGTGTAAGGGCAAGGCAGTGGCACAAGCCTTTTGACACTGACATCCCACTGAAGGATGATCAGCTCTGCAACCTTCAAGCAAGTTCCATCTTGCTGTGTGCTTGAGCTCTATGCAAACAGTGCTGAAATGCTGAGGTCATGCTTTTGATCCTAAGAGCTACTCAAAAAAAGAACAGTGCTGAAATGCTGAGGTCATGGTTTTGATCCTAATGATCCTAAGAGCTACTCAAAAATCAAAGTTGGTTGAAAGCCAGTTCACAGCTTATTCCTCATTTTAGTGTTTGGGGAGGAGGAGTTTGTCTTGCACTAGAATTAAGTCATCTGTGACAGCAAAGAAGGAGACACCCTCACCAACCTGTAGCGCCCCAAGACTGTCTTGTTCCCTGTCTTGTTCCTACTCCTCTTCCAAAGCTCAGCTGGATTATCCCAGGGCAGGGAGCGCTCTAAAAAAGCTCACCATTCCTCCATACTTGGGTAAGTTTTAAAGCTCACCATTCCTCTGTACTTGGGTAAGTTTTACTAGCAGAAGACTAACGCATCACAGTCTCACACAGATGTTTTTGAGGGTAGTGCTGTTGCACCACAGCTCTCCTTTTCCTGCAGTATACCACAGGCTGGTGGAGCTCTGACCTGGAAGAAGTCAGGATTGTTTCATGAGAATGGTTATGGATGAGGCTAGCACAAGGCATTCAAGAGGACAATGTGGTATAAACTGAAACACCAGACCCTGTCAGGCAATAGAGCAGTTGTAGCAGCTCCACAACGTTAAAGCAACTACCCAGAATAATTTCAGAACAGAGGATGAAGCTGCATGCCCAGCAGAATGTTGGATCCCTAGTTTTCCTTGTGGCTGGGGAAGGACAGCTTGCAGAGGAGCAGCTGTCTCTGCAGGAGAAGACACTTCAAGGTTTCCACCCCACACTGCATTATCTAGTTATGCATTTTATTACAAGTAGAATTACACAACAAAGTAATGCATATTGGAAAAATACATTTGTACAATGACTCCAGACAAATGCTGCAGATAAAATGCCATTGTTCTAAGACTTCCCTTCCCATTTCACAGAGGGTATTTGAACGTTCAGTTACTGTTATCACTCGTACAAGCCTCAATTCCTCTAGAGATGAGTTTGCTGCAGTATCCAACTGCTGGTTACAGGAAGAGAGGACTTGCCTATTAACATCTGATCTACAAAAACCCCAGCCTTGGCCTCCCGTGTTGTTGCGTTAGTTGATAAGCACTAGGTGAGAAGCTGCACAAGCCATTGATCTCCAGCACAGGAAGTCGTTAAGGCATCTGTCAGCTTTTAGCCAGCAACTCGCTCTGCTCTGTTAGTACCTCCAACACCAACATTCTCACTCCACTTAGTGGCGTGAAACAGCAACTACACCTTTGTTAGATACACAAATTAAAACTTAAGCCAGAGCACGTTTTGTGCTTGTGCAGGAGTACTGGATGCCAGCAGCCAAAGGGAATTCACCCTCCGAACAAACTCCTACACTATGAACTACGACAGGCTTCCCATGCAGCCCTGCTGACGCGCCCGCCGCCCTCTCCCACAGATCCCTGCCCAGGGACAGACCTCAGTTTGTTCTCCCTGCACCCTTTTTGTTCAACACTTGGCAGCCAGGAGCCTCGAGTTAAGGGATACCACTCAGGCAGCGAGTAAGAGGGGTGGGGTTTTGGTCACAACTGTACTACGCTGCAAAAAGTGAGAGCAGTTGTTTATGGAGTTAGAAATGTGTTGACCACTACTACGTTACCAAGTGCTCCCATTCACATTTGTACCCTGCAGTGGAGCATTGCCAGCAAAACTCCTCTTCCCCCCTCCCCTCCCAAATCTGAGAGTTCAGACCAATACCAGGCAGAATACATAAAGGACTGAGCCCCACCAGTAGTTTGGTGGCATCAACCTCTTTAGTTGAAGAGCTAGAAGAGAACTAACTTGGGTTTTGGTTGGGAGCTTTTCCCCTTTAACTCTGCCAGAAAGCTGTTTAGAGTTGGCTGGAAGGAAACTATCTCAAAAGGCACTTTAGAAGGATCAAATTTAATTAATTTAGTTGCTTTAAATTTCATGAACACCTCAGGCTGTACATCAGTGTATCAATATCCTTAACTTTCAGACTTCAGTGAGAAAGCAAGCTGGTACAGTATTGGCTGTAAAAAGCCAACTAGGAGCATTACACATGGTTTCCCAGACTTTTGGCCAGTTGTAATTAATATTTACTTTTAAAAGAGCAACTAGCCAGCCTTAAATTTGCCATTCAGTTGAATCTTCACAAGATCAACATTTTTCATCATTTAAAAGGTTGCTTATTCAGTTAGAGCTGAGCTCTCGGCTCCCTTGCCCCTCCCATCACTGAGAGGCTGAAATGCTTTAGCAGTTCCATGCTGTGCAGATTCCCAGTTAAGCCGAAGCCCATAGGCTGTGGCCTCAGGAGAACACTCCTCTACCATGATCTTTCAGTATTCTGAGCACACACTTACCACTCCACAGCACTGCAGCTCCAAACCAAGAGGGAAATCAACATGTTAAAGGCACACACTAGAGTCAAGACTTGTTTCACCAAATGCACTTGCATCGTTATCTTTCACTGCTAGAGACTTGCAGCCATTCTGCAACATCAGAAGGCAACAGACTACAACATTTTCCATCATCTTTCACTCAAATACCCCAAACTGTAGCTTGCAATTAAATGCTTTAAAACCCATTATTTTCCACCTCATTCACCCAGAAGCCTACAAGGCAGTATACAGAACATTGTGCCAGAGAAGCACCACTTGCATCTGTGTTGGAGCCCAGTCGTGTTACCCAGGGCATTCTGTTGGAATGTGACAGCAGCAGACATTAAACAGTGAGGCAAATTTGTATTCATCATCCAATATTCTTTTCTAGTGTTACAAGGGTGAGATTCCAGTTATAATATATGCATCTTGGAAGATCAAAGTGCGGATCAGGTGAGACTTGATGTGAAATTCATTGTGCAAATGTCAGCAGTTACACCCTCTCCCATCCTTT